CTTATGAGCTCAAGCAATCCACCCGCCTCAGCCTCTCAGAGTGCTGGAATTACAGGTGTGAGCCACCACACCTGGCTGACCCTTAAGCCCCAGACTTCATGCTCCTTAAACTAACAGAATTTCTTTGGAAAACATATTTGTCTGTTTTTATTGGGCTTTCATTGGTTCTCTGGTTACCATTCTTACCTCAAACATGGACCCCTGTATTCTTGATCCAGACAAAGAGCACTTAGCACTTGTGCAGTGGGATCCTAAGACCCTTGTTACACTTGGTCTGTGTCTATTCAGAGGGATGTTTATCTGTAAGGTGGGGGGGAGATTATTGAGCAAAATAAGGAGGTTAGCTGTGGGATGTGAGGAGTATTTTCCAATTTTCTCAGTTAAAGGAACTTCGTAGTGACCTTTCTATTGTGTTAATGCATGCACGTATTAGAGTCTCACCACATGGAGGTAATTACAGGATTTGAAAGACCTACTTTTGTTTGACCTTTTTTTTTTTTTTTGAGACAATCTCAAGCTGTTGCCTTGGGTAGGGTGCTGTGGCATCATAACTCACAGCAACCTCAAACTCTTGGGGCTTAAGCGATTCTCTTGCCTTAGCCTCCCAAGTAGCTCGGACTATAGGTGCCCGCCACAATACCCAGCTATTTTTTTTTTTTGGATTGTAGTTGTCATTATTGCTTGGCAGGTCCAGGCTGGATTCAAACCCACCAGCTCCAGTGTGTGCGGCTGGCGCCCTAGCCACTGAGCTACAGGCACTGAGCCTTTTGTTTGACTCTTATGTAGACTATGTGCTTTGTCTTTGTAGGAAACTTGTGCCTTTACTACTGGATCAAGATTATGTTAACCTAAAGAACCAGATTATAAAAGCAGAAAGACGAGTTCTCAAAGAGCTGGGTTTCTGCGTCCACGTTAAACATCCTCACAAGGTGGGTGTGTGCCTGGCCTCCCCATGGGTCCACCCAGGCCACTGCCTCAGCCCGGCTGTCTCTTTCCTTCTTATTGCGGTTGAAGGCTCTGAAGAGGACTCAGTATGTCCCTGACTTGGTTTCCAGTTCATATCTCTAATCTCAAAATGTTTGATTCATTAGTCTTCTAGTAGCATCTCTTAATTTTATTTATTTATTTTTTTTTTTGAGACAGAGTCTCACTTTATCTCTGGTGGCAGAGTGCTGTAGCGTCACAGCTCACAGCAACCTCCAACTCTTGGGCTTAGGCGATTTTCTTGCCTCAGCCTCCTGAGTAGCTGGGACTAAGACACCCACCACAATGCCCAGCTATTTTTTGTTGCAGTTTATTGGGGGCCGGGTTCAAACCCACCACTCTCAGTATATGGGCCGGCATGCTACTCACTAAGCCACAGGTGCCACCCTCATCTCTTAATTTTAGCAATGTATCTTAAGAGCTTCGTGAATGGGTCAAGTGCTATGGCTCATCCCTGTAATCCTAGCACTCTGGGAGGCTGAGGTGGGTGGATCCCCTGAGTTTAGGAGTTCAAGACCAGCTTAAGAATGAGCAAGACCCCCCCCCCCCCGCAATCTCTAAAACTAGCCAGGTATTATGGCAGTCTCCTGTGATACCAGCTACTTGGGAGGTTGAGGCAAGAGGATCACGTAAGCCCAAGGGTGACAAAAGGAGACTCTTATCTTTAAGAAAAAAAAGAAAGCTTCATAAATGGCATCTTTTAAATTTGGGCTTTCAAAAACAGTGGTGAACTTATAAAAATTAAATCTCATGTATTTTAGAAAAAAAACATTTTTCTTTCTCAGCTCTTAATTTTCTTTTCTTTTCTTTTTTTTTTTTTTGAGAGTCTCATTATGTCGCCCTCAGAAGAATGCTGTAGTATCACAGCTCACAGCAACCTCAGCCAAGAGCTGGGTTTGAACCTGCCACCCTTGGCATATGGGGCTGGCACCACTCCTCAACACTTAATTTTCTAAAGATATTTTAATAACAGTCTTTTTTTTTTTTTTTTTTTGCCAGTGCTGGGTTTGAACCCGCCACCTCTGGCACATGGGGCCAGTGCCCTGCTCCTTTGAGCCACAAATGCCACCCGACAGTCTTTATTTTTTTGAGAGTGAGTCTCACTTTGTCATCCTCAGTAGAGTGCCTTGGTGTCATAGCTCACAACAACCTCAAACGCTTGGGCCCAAGTGATACTCTTGCCTCAGCCTCCCAAGTATCTAGTACTACAGGTACCCGCAACAATGCCCAGCTATTTTTAGAGATGAGGTCTTGCTTTAGCTCAGATTGGTCTTTAAACTGTGAGCTCAGGCAATCCACCTGTCTTAGCCTCCCAGAGTGCTGAGATTACAGGCATGAACCATACCACCTAGCCTTTTAATAATAGTCTTATTTCTTCTTTGAGGGGATTTGGAAAAATTTGAACCCTTTTGCTTTGAAATGAGTTAAAGTAGTTTTGTAGCATGTATTGATTGAGAAGCATGGCTATGTACTTTAAGTTTACTTATGACATTGTGAGGGTCTTCTGTTATACTTTAACAAAAAATGTTTTACAGAAAAAATTATTATTTGCATTTTCGGTTTAACGCCACCGCACACAGTTTTCCTTTTTTGGCCGGGGCTGGGTTTGAACCCACCATCACCAGTATATGGGGCCAGCACTCTACTCATTGAGCTACAGGCGCCACCCCCAGTTTAATCCCCTTTTTATTATTGGGTTTCCTCATAATGTCTCTTGCTTGTTAGATGTTTTAGAATTAATTCAAATTTTTGGTAAATTATCCATCACTGATATAAGTGCTTTTCTTCATTTGCTGAAAGTATTTTCACATTGTATTTTGTTTGGGTTGGTAACTGGGGTACAGAGATGTTTAGGGCAGGCTAACCTCACTGGTGGAAAAGATGTTGAAGACAACAGTGAAAATCAGCCCCTTGAAGAAATAGGCTTTCCGTGCTGTGGGCTGTGCAGCTTGGGCTTCACATGAATGCATGCTGTGTGCTGCAAAAGCAGGCAGCAGGTGCATCAGCAAAAGCTCCCCTCCAGCTGAGCCATCCACCACATGTGTAACCAGGAGCCACTCCTGGGGTCTAGCATGAGGCTCTTATTTGCTGCATGGACACCCACGAAATCTGAATTCTGGGCTCATCAGGTTCTTGGTAATAACTGCCTGACCCATATCTTCCAGATAATCGTTATGTACCTTCAGGTGTTAGAATGTGAGCGTAACCAACACCTGGTCCAGACGTCATGGTGAGTTGACCTTCCTTGTTTTATGAGACCAGCAAGGGCAGTGCAGGAGTATGTTGATTTGAGGCACTTGGGCAGTGGGTAGTCGATCCCATGACTTAGTTGTGGGCTGGAGTTGTCCAAGTGCCCAGTGTTCCTGCCCTGTAAATTCCAATCAGACTCCCAAAATGTCAGGCACTGGCATGACGGTAGGTGGCCCCTCTCCTCCCCATAAACCCTGGATTTCCTATGTCCCCCACCCTTGAACAGTCAGCAGGCTTCCCTCTGGGACTGCTGATTTTGTATAGTGGGCTCTTTCCCAGGGAAATCCAAGCTGACAGGTGACAATGTAGACATAGGAGTACTATATCTCTGGTGAAAGTACATTCCTTAGGAGGAGGGGAGGGAGGAAGTTTTGCTATAATCCTGGGATTGATTTTAATAATGCATGTATGTGCTAGAAATGAAGCCTGCAGTACAACTTAGTGTTTGGGGCATTTAGGTGAATTTTTCCCACAGAGTTAAGTCTGTAAGGGTCTTAATTTGCTGACTGAATTGTCTGGTGCTATGACATGTTTAACAGAGAACCTATTTTGACTTTCCTTTTCTGTACTCTTTCAATCAAAGGGTAGCCTCTGAGGGTAAGTGACTAAGACTTCTCCTCTGCTGTCCAAGCGCTTTGGTGCAGGGACAGCGGCCGTCTTCAGCCAATCCAGTGCAGGCTCTCCACCGAAGGCTGGCTCTAGACTGGTGGTATGCGTCCGATAGCATAGTCACGGCCGACTGCTGCTTGTGGTTCTGGCGATTGTGCTTCTTGTTATCCTCTGTCGTGCTTTGGTAATTGTACTGATTAGAGTTGATAACTGTCTTGAGTTGAATTTTGTTCCTTTAAAACTGTTGTACCTATACAATAAAGATGCAGTACCTTTCTCTTTTTAAAAAGTTCTATGGAAAGTTGTAAAAATTGAAGTGACAAATTGGCTGATGGGAATTCATACTGTCATTGTGGGGTTATGTTATTTCTGGAAGTCCTATGGTTGCTCTTTTCAGCAGCTGAGCTTGAAACATTCTAGTAAAAAAGGTATGCATCTTTAAATTATTCCATGGACACTATAAAAAATACTATAACTCAGTATTTTTACCTCTAGTAAAAGGTGTGCATCTTTAAATTATTCCATGGACACTTTTAGAAAATACTGTAACTTAATTCAAATATTAGTAATAAGTTTAAATATGTTTTGAAGATTTCATTTGTTTTAAGACTTAAAAGTTAATGGATTAATATGATTACTACTTGAATACTGAAAATGTTTTGTTAGAAAAACGTTACTGATGGTTACTTTTATCACCATTTGTGTTGTTCACTTATAAAGTTGCTCCCGGGACATGTAGCTTCTTGGCCATCACACTGGCTTCCTTTTGATGCCTTGAGCAAGAGCATCCAGAGCCAGGTGCCTCTAGGAGGCATCTGTAGAATTATCGTTTAGAAATCTGAGTGGGTTTGTATGTCACTTTCTCCAGGTTTTATTCAGGGTAAAGAATGTGGGGGTGGTGGTGGAGGGATATGCCCTGCCACAGCGTGACTAACTGGGCCGTGGCCTGACTCTATGGCTGCCATTACTGGGGTGTGTTAGAGTGGTGACTCCATAACCTGTACACCTGTTTCCTCATGGGATTAATTTTTTTGCGGTATTGATAAAGAGAGTATAAGGTCTGATTTTAGTCCAGTAAATCTTAGAGAATATATTCAAAGAAAATTGCTAAAATGTAGCCAGTTTTAAAACTTTAATTTTATAAAAATGAACATTTTTATATTTTCCCAATATGATAAAGTTTTTTAAATGTACTAACTGTGATGAAACTTTTAGTATTTTATTGCTTTGTCTGATTTTATGAATGTTCGTTTTAAGACTCCTTGTTGCAATGGGACAGTTTGGAAACGATTCTTTGATAACCCTGAGAACTGAGAAGAGGACTTCCCTCTGGGTACTGAGCCTTCCTCTGCATGATGTCCTATGCATCTGAATTGCACCCAGGGGTGTTTTTCCCTTTTCCAAGTGGACTCCCTCACGGAAGCTACAGCTCGGTCATCAAGAGGAGGGCCAGGCTGTGAGCGCTCTTCGAGGAAAAGGAGCTCAAGAGGACAGCTTGTCTCACAACAGCCTCCCAGACTTCTCATTCAGCCAGTTCATTTGAGTTTGCATGTTTCTCTGCACTATGGATTTTGAGCATTTAGATTCCTTTAATCAGATACATTTAACCAAAACAGTAGACATTTTCTTTCTAAGGTACTGTGCTTTGCATGAGAGCAGGCCAAAGGTTGAGGGGGAAAAGTAAAGTTGAAGTTGGTTCTCTTTCATAGCAACACATTGTTTGACATTCAGCCAGCTTTTTTGTTCCCCAGTAATTTCTCTGCTTTCCTGTTCTGATTCAGAAAAAGCAGCTAGAATGTTTCTCTTGGGATTCACAGGACTGTTTAGCTCTGAGCCTAGTGTTAGACTGCTTGGAGGAGTAGTGACTATAGATATTGCAGACGGCTGTCACAGGTTGCCAGAAGTATTGCAATTCCTCTTGCATTTGGGTTTTAGGAATTACATGAATGACAGCCTTCGCACCGATGTTTTTGTGAGGTTCCAGCCCGAGAGCATTGCCTGTGCCTGCATCTATCTCGCTGCCAGGACACTGGAGGTCAGTGTGTTGCTCCACAAGGAGCTTCTAGGTTGACTCTCCAGCCTCCAGTAACTTTGGTGTAGTATTTTTCAAATTATGGTAATCTGCGCCAGACTTTTTGGTGGCCAGTAGGCTGTTTTTTATTGCCCTGAGTGTTGCTGGCCCTGCAGCTGATGAGAAAATTGTGACCGTGTTTGTGTTTACAGATCCCTCTGCCCAGTCGTCCTCATTGGTTTCTTTTGTTTGGAGCAACCGAAGAAGAAATTCAAGAAATCTGCTTAAAAATCCTACAGCTTTATACACGGAAAAAGGTTCTTCTGGGTTTTTTTCCTGTAACGTATGATTTAGCTTTGACCAGAAGCCTCTGGTGCTGAGTGGATGGACTCTGGTTTTTGCAGGTTGATCTGACTCACCTGGAAGGTGAGGTGGAAAAGAGAAAGCACGCCATTGAGGAGGCAAAGGCACAAGCTCGGGGCCTGCTCTCTGGAGGAGCACAGGCTGCAGACAGCACAGCAGGGTTCTCACCTGCCCCCAAGCTGGGTGAGTGTTAGGGGCAGGAGTCTGTTCCCCACAAGGGTGAAGGTTGGTGACTCTTTGGAGCTGTTAGGGGGTGTTGTGAGCTCTTCCCGCATTCTCTTGGATTTGAACCTGCAGCTTGTCTGAGCACCTTATAGGCACCGGATGCTGGTCATCTTTGAAATGTGACTTGGGCCCTGAGAGAATTTTGTCTTCATGTTTTCATTAGTGAAGAATACAGATGGGCTTTTTTTTTGAGACGGAGCCTCAAGCTCTGTCTCAAGAGTGCCGTAGCATCACAGCTCACTGCAATGTCTGATTCCTGGGCTTAAGCGATTTTCTTGCCTCAGCCTCCCCGGTAGCTGGAACTACAAGCCACCACCACAATGCTTGCCTAGTTTTTGGTTGTAGTTGTCATTGTTGTTTGGGAGGGCCGGGCTGGATTTGAACCCTCCAGCTCTGGTGTATGTGGCTGGCGCCTAACTGCTTGAGCCACAGGCGCCAAGCCCAGACAGGCTTTTTAAAATGCTTTTGTTGGGGCACAGACCAGGCTTAGTGACTTACACCTATAATCCCAGCACTCTGGGAGGTGGAGATAGGAGGATCTTTTGAGTTCAGGAGTTTGAGAATATTCTGAGCAAGAGCGAGACCTCGTCTCTATTAAAAATAGAAAAATTAGCTGGGCTGGGTGCAGTGGCCTACTCCTGTAATCCTAGCACTCTGGGATACCAAGGTAGGAGGATTTCTTCAGCCCAGGAGTTTGAGGTTACTGTGAGCTGGGCTGATGCAATAGCACTCTACCCAGGGCGACAAAGTGAGACATTGTCTCCAAAAACAAGAAAATTAAAAATGAAATGCTGGGCAGCGCCTGTGGCTCAGTGGGTAGGGTGAAACCACATAAACTGAGGGTGATGAGTTCAAACCCATCCCTAGCCAAACTGCAACAAGAAAATAGCCAGGCATTGTGGCAGGCGCCTATTGTCCCAGCTACTTGGGAGGCCGAGGCAGGAGAATTGCCTAAGCCCAGGAGTTGGAGGTTGCTATGAACTGTGATGCCATGGTACCAAGGGCAATAAAATAAGATACTGTCTCTACAAAAGAAAAATTGAAATGCTTTTGTTTATGGTACTTAGTTAACTTAGCATCAAAATTTTATAATCTATGACAATAGATTGTACTATTGGACCCTAGAGGTCAGCCTGATACCTGTCACCAGGTCCCTGAGGAAAAGTGAAGGAGAGAAGGGCCTTTCTGCATGTCTGTCACACACCCCAGGTTGGGAATAGGAAGTTGAGACCCATGGAAATATCCTTGTCTCACTCTGCTAACTTGTTTTTTACCTGATGAGCTTTTTGGTTTTTGGATTTTAACTTCTTATACTTGATTCCAGTAGAATCCCCCAAAGAAGGTAAGGGGAACAAAGCTTCCCCACTCTCTGTGAAGAGTACCAAGAGGAGAATTGAGGGCATGAAGAAAACCAAAGCCGATAGCCCCGTGAATGGGTAAGATGCCCAGAGCTGCCTGGGTGGCTGGCAGGGTTGCCTGGAGAGGCACAGGTCTGTAACCAGTTGCCGTCCTGCTGACAGCTTGCCAAAGGGGCGAGAAAGTCGAAGTCGGAGCAGAAGCCGTGAGCAGAGCTACTCGAGATCCCCATCACGATCTGCTTCTCCTAAGAGGAGGTGCCTTGGGGTTCCCCAGTGAGGCCCAGACCTGGTGGGGGTGGGGTGTTCTCACCAGATAGCAGGAGGTAACATGGACTACTCTTGAGGATAGTGGTTCTTACCCTGAGGTGGTTTCTTCTCCACACCTGGAGCTTATGCATCTGTGAGATCCTTTGGGCCTGTCAGGGCTTGGTTGTGACAGGTGGTCATGCATATGATTACATTGTCCTTCCTCACAGGAAGAGTGACAGTGGCTCGACATCTGGTCACTCCAAGTCACAGAGCCGTTCTCGGAGCCGGAGCGATTCCCCGCCAAGACAGGTGCACCGTAGCGCTCCCTACAAAGGCTCTGAGGTGAAGGGCTCCCGGAAGTCCAAGGACTGCAAGTGTCCCACTCAGAAGCCACACAAGTCTCAAAGCCGGAGCTCATCCCGTTCTCGAAGCCGGTCACGGGAGCGGGCAGACAATGCTGGAAAATACAAGAAGAAAAGTCATTACTATAGAGATCAGCCACGGGAGCGTGCAAGGTCGTATGAGCGCACAGGCCATCGCTATGAGCGGGACCACCCTGGGCACAGCAGGCACCGGAGGTGAGGTGGGGTCCCAGTGACTAGTGGCCATAGGCCCCTTCCTAGAGGGTGTCTGGCAGTTGCCCTTCTCCCCTCTCTGTCGTGCATACCTTGGCCAAGTGGCCCTGTAGCACGATTCTTTCTGGAAATGGAATTGAGGGGATGATGAGGTGTACTCCAGGCTGGCTTGGGGCTCGGCACATACCTGTCTACCTTGGCAGCAGCCATGAGGGCAGCTCAGTGGAAAAGCAAACCCATGTGGCCCCGTGGTGTGGCTTGGTGCTATCTGTCAGCAGCCACCTCTTTACCCCTACCACTACTCAATTACGTTAAGCCAAGAAAGATGATTTTTAGAAACTTTGCCTATATTAGGTTGTACTATGTACATATTTTGCAGTGTTTCACAGTGAGAAAATGGCCTTAGTAACCCCTTATTCTCTATCCATGTTGTAAATAAACATGAGTTTAAACAAGTTAAAGCTTTATATGAAAACTCAGAACTTGAATTCTGTTAGCTTAAAACTTGTGTAGAGAATTCTGATTTTTTAAATGTGAAGGTATTTAGATCTGTGTTGAAAGTCGTATATTTTTATCTGTGCAATGCTGAGTGCAGGCCACCAGCTCTTGGAGAAGTTTCCTATATATACCTTTTATGTGGTTGAATAAACACCTCTCTGCTCAGGACATTTGGAACGTTGGAGATTTGTAGGCTGTCATTCTGCTTATCGAGGTGCTGTGGCTTCCCTGTCCTCGGCACGTCTGGGCTGCTGGATTCTTCTCATGAGGGGCCTGAGCCCTCTGCCTGTCAGGATGACAGGCTGCTTCCTGGAGGCTGCAGTGGGAGGTTTGGAAATAAAGCTATCCTGTAGGGGTTTTAGTCTTGAGGGGCTTTGATTTTAGTCCGTTACATCTGCTGGGTACCTGGAGAGTTGCCCCTATGCATGGTGAGCTAGTGGGTGGCAGGTGAGAAGGGCAAGTGTGGGGCTGTCTCCTGGCCTGGCTGGTATTGCCATGTGAAGATGGACCGCTATTCTGGGCCTGTTGGCTGGCGGTGGTGATGCCCCAATTTGGCACCTCTAACAGTACCCAGCCCAGGGTCAGCAGGGGTGTACACTGGACTTCAGGCTGAGGCTCCATCCACAGCCTGCCCTGGGGTGTCTGGGAGGAGGGGCAGGTTAGCAGTACAGACCAAGGTGGCTGTCTTAGCCAATGGGCATGTGACCACTACTAGTAGCCCAAGCTCTGCTGGTACCAGCAGCACCTGGAGGGCATTGGGAGCTGTTGCTGGGCAGGCCTTCCTTGGTACTTAGAGCTGGGCTGCAGCCCTCCTGAGAGGCAGCTCCAAGTTCGGGGACTAGCTGCTGCCCAAGGATGAAAGGACCCCAGCCTTTTCCCCACCCCTGGGCTCAGTGGCAGAAACACGATCCACCTCACCAAAGTGGGGCTCCAGCCACCTGTGTTCCTTGACTAGCTGGCCTTGTCAGACCTCAGGGTCACAGCTGCCATCCACAGGACTGGTAACATGTCCCATGCAGGGATGGGTGGCTTCCCTGCCCTGCACACAGGCACCAACTGGCGCCTCATTACTCCACTTCCTACTTCCCAAGAATGAACAGTATGGCTGGGTCAGATACTGCTCTCCCAGGGAGCCTACACCTCTGAGCATCACCTCTTCAAGGCCTGTTGCCTCTTCTAGCCCCTCACTCCTGGCAGGACCCCTCTGCTGCACTCCAGGCCTGACAGCAACTGTGTAGGTGGGGCCAAGCTTGGGGACCTCTCCACCTGTGTGGCCCCTGAGCTCTAAGGGGACTGCAGAGGATCCCATTTGTCCACAGGGGCTTTCCCTTCATCCTGCCCACACCATGCACTGCCTCTGGCTGGCTGCTGGCACCTGGCTGGGTCCCACTAGAGTCCCTGGCCCATACAGCGGGCCCTTCTCTAAAAGCCCCGTGGAGGAAGTGCCCCAGCTGGACTTGGGAGGTGAGGGTACCTCCTTTATCCACTTTGCTCTTTGGCTTCTCTGTGGGCAGAGGAGCACTTTAGTGTGAGGACCAGAAGTTTGTGTTCTGAAGCAGATGTGGAGAGCTGGGATGGCCAGCCTAGGTCCCTGGTCCTTGGGGGAGGGCAGAAGTGCCAAGGCCTCACACTGCACAGGGCCCTGCTGGGTGCTCCAGGGTGGAGTCCCCCAGCAGGGTGGTGGGATTCCAGGGCAGGATCCAAGACTTGCTGCACCTGCAGATGGCATGACAGGCTCCATGGTGGCCCCAGGCCAAGGCTGACTGGCTGGCTTGGGTTGGAGAACATGGTAGCTGACTCCACAGTGAGTCCTCATTAAAAGGCTCCTGCTTGTCTTTTCCCTTGGCTGTACCTCACTCTGCAGAATCTCTCTGGACCTGGGGAGTCAGAGGTCCTACCTCTCTCCTGGGTGAAGGGTCTTCCCTGGGAAGCATCTGAGGTTGACACTAAGATTTGGGGTACCCTGAAACTTGAGCATGCCATGTCCCTCCACGAAACTGGTGGCCCTTTTCTACCTGTCCTCCCAGTCCCAGGGAGGTTGCCAGGACAGATGGCCTATCCTGAGGGACAGTCCCCACAATTTCCACTCCTGGGAGTTGGACTGGGGAAAACAGTGCCAGGCAGTGGGGGGCTTGGCCAGGAGGGTGCAGTGGAGCTAGAGCTTAGAGACATGGTCCACTGGGACACATAAACATTTTGCCCCCCCGGGGGACCAATGTCTGGAGACATTTTTGGTTGTCACAGCTGGAAGAGGGAGAATGCTACTAGCATCTAGTGGGTGCAAGCCAGGGACAGTGCTCAACACCCTGAGTGCACAGAATGGCAAGGAGTCATCCACCCCAAGTGTAAGCAGTGCTAAGGGGTAGAAACCCTGGCATCAGACACAGTGGGGGCAGGATCATCAGAACCTTCTAGTCTATGTATCTGGCAGTGGAGCTGGCTTGCCACCCTGGAGGCTGAGTCTTACCCAGAAAGGGCATCTTTGCCTGTTCACAGCCCAGCCAGTCACTGTCCTGGCCTGAGACACATTCTGCTTTCCAAAGCCCACTCTGGAGCTAACCAGACAGGTAGCACAAGGTGAGAGGTCATGTGCTTGTTTCCCCAGCTGAAGGGCTTTGGAGTGAGTGATGCAGGCTATGCCTGAGACAGGCAGCAGATGATTGGAGCCATGGAATTGCCCCAAGGGCCAGTAAAGGGGTAGGGGAAGCCAGGGCTACCCCGGCACAGGGCTAGATGCTACTGCCAACTTGGGGTGCTCTTGAGCTCTGGGACTTGGAGCCTGAGTCTAATTCCAGGCAGGAGCTTTGGCTTCCCATCCTGAGTGCTCAGGCTGGAGCATGCAGGGTAGACTTTAGTTGGACAATGCCCAGCCTGGATCCAGCTGTGGCAAACTGAGGGGCTGTAGCTCCCCTATTCTTGCTAGGGTTCCCCTGCACTGCTGGGAGTCCATGGCTCACTTGCCAGCAGAAAGGTCAGGAACAGGGGTCATACCAGCCAGGGAGGAGCCAAATATGGAGGAACCCAAATTGGAGACGCGTGGCCGCAGCGGATGGTCACCTCCCAAGCACTCTGCAAGGTGGGCCTTGTACTTCACGCAGTCACAGGTCTGATCCCAGATTGCAAGTTTTCCTATAGCAGGCGCTGAGCTTTGGGGCCCTAGAGCATGTGTGCCATGGAGGTGCCTATGCAGTAGGGGCTGCCCAGGGTCTATGAGGCTGCCACCTCTGTGTCCCCTTCTCATTTGCACCCAGGGCTGGGATGAAACCACCAGCTCAGGCTCTGATGGGATCATGTTGTCCCAGCAGAAGCTCCCCCTCAACACCCTCAGGAGAGACCAAGCCCAGTCCTGGGAGTGCCTGCCTGTGCCCAGTTCGTATCTTCACCTTCAGCACCTTCAAAAGCTATGTTGGCAGCCACATGACAAAGATGACTTGAATAAAGGAGGGGCTGGGGGCCAGCATTGCCCCAGTTGGGCCTGGAGGCAGGTTCACAGCACCTATACCTTGCAGCCTACAGTGGAGCAGTGGGCCCCCCTCACCTGTACCTTCTGGAGAGTGTGGCAGCCCAGGACATGCTAACCATTAATGAAACCAACAGAGTGGTCCAGCTCATGCCCAGCAAGGGGCGTGCAGACCCTCACCACCCAGGACAGCCCATCCTGCTGCCCCCGCCTGGTGGTGGGCAAGCAGGACTGACAACTCCTTCATTCTGAGGCAAAGTTACTACGTAACAGAGGGGCCAAGACTGTCAGTTCATGGGGATATGTGCAGTGCAGGGCATAGAAAACATTGCTCATTTTGTGTCCCCAGATAGCCACTGAGAAATCCCGTGGCTCAGGCACAGTGCGTACTGTGGTGTATTGGTAAATGTCTGACAAACACAAAAAGGGAGCAGGGGAAGGTGGACCCTGGTTTTTTTCATTTCTGTGGCAATTTCAAGTTGCCTACATAATTTCATTAAAGGCAGCAACCCTTATATGTTTCCTTCTTCACTTACAATACTTCAATAATCACCTTAACACTGTAAGATAATAGTAAAACAGGAAGTGGAGTTTTGAGCATATCTTTTGTTTTCTCACTGTATTACCCAGGCTGCTTTTGAACTCCTGGCTTCAAGTGATCCTCTCTGCCTCAGCCTCGTTAAGTACTGGGACTACAGGTGAGAGCCACCACACCCTGCCCTTTATCTTTAGTATAACTTACCTGTAAGTTTATGTGTTTTAAAGTAATGACTGTGTTTAGCAGCTGGCTTACAAAACTCCTAAAAACTTTTTTTTTTTTTTTTTGAGACGGAGCCTCAAGCTGTCCCCCTGGGTAGAGTGCTGTGGCATCACACTCACAGCAACCTCCAACTCCTGGGCTCAAGCGAGTCTCCTGCCTCAGCCTCCCAAGTAGCTGGGACTACAGGCGCCCGCCACAACGCCTGGCCATTTTTTGGTTGCAGCCATCGTTGTTTGGTGGGCCCGGGCTGGGGATTTGAACCCGCCACCTTAGGTGTATGTGGCTGGTGCCTTAGCCGCTTGAGCCACAGGCGCCGAGCCAACTCCTAAAAACTTAATGGCTACTGTCTTAGTATACTCTGATCCAAAAGGGCTCCTGCACACAACTGGTCAGGCTCTGACAAGACAGCAGAGCCCCGCCTGGTTTGTGGCTTCTATGACCCAAGACTTGGGCTACAGTGGAGCCCACCCTGAGGTCTACCCTAAGCCACTTCCACCCTTAGTGCCCCTCCAATCTCCAGGCTTGAGATGCAAAATTTTTTTAAATTCTGAGGTTTCTGGGTGGCGCCTGTGGCTCAGAGGAGTAGGACGCCAGCCCCATATGCTGGAGGTGGTGGGTTCAAACCCAGCCCTGGCCAAAAACTGAAAGGAAAAAACAGAAAAAAAAAATCCTAAGATTTCTAAAGAAACTCATTTCCCAGGTGGCGCCTGTGGCTCAGTGAGTAGGGCACTGGCCCCAGCCCAACTGCAACAAGAAATAGCCAGGCGTCATGGCAGGCGCCTGTGGTCCCAGCTACTCGGGAGGCTGAGGCAAGAGAATTGCCTAAGCCTAGGAGTTGGAGGTTGCTGTGAGCTGTGTGACGCCACAGCACTCTACTGTGGGCGCTAAAGTGAGACCCTGTCTCTACAAAAAAAAAAAAAAAAAAAAAAAATTTCCAGCTTGGCACCTGTGCCTCAAGCGGCTAAGGTGCCAGCCACATACACCTGAGCTGGAGGGTTCAAATCCAGCCCAGGCCCACCAAACAATGACAGTTGCAAATAAAAAATAGCCAGGCATTGTGGCAGGCACCTGTAGTCCCAGCTACTTGAGAAGAGGAGGCAGGAGAATCGCTTGAGCCCAGGAGTTGGAGGTTGCTGTAAGCTGTGATGTCATAGCACTCTACCCAGGGTGACAGCTTGAGGCACTGTCTTAAAAAAAAAAAACAAACTCATTTCCTCTAAAAACAGTTTGTGAAAAACAAAAATATGTGCAAGAACTGTGTACTTTCCTTGATAGACTGAGTTCCTTCTTTTTTGAGACGAGTTTCACTATGTTGCCCTTAGTAGAGAGCTGTGGCATCACAGCTCGCAGCAACCTCAAACTCTTGGGCTTAAGCAATTCTCTTGCCTCAGCCTCCCAAGTAGCTGGGACTACAGGTGCCTGCCACAATGCCAGGCTTTTTCTTGTTGCAGTTGTCATTGTTGTTTAGCTGGCCTGGCCTGGGTCTGAACCCACCACCCTCGGTGTATACGGCTGCCACAATAACCACTGTGCTAGGGCGCTGAGCCAACCTCAAACTCTTGAGCTTAAGTGATTCTCTTGCCTCAGCCTCCCAAGTAGCTGGGACTACACTCGCCTGCCACAATGCTCGGCTATTTTCTTTTTCTTATTTTTTTGAGTCTCATTTGTTGCCCTTGGTAGAGTACGGTGGCATCACAGCTCACAGCAACCTCAAACTCTTGGGCTTAAGTGATTCTCTTGCCTCAGCCTCCCAAGTAGCTGGGACTATGGGCGCCAGCCAGAATGCCCAGCTATTTTTTTTTGGTTGTAGTTGTTGTTTAGCAGCCCCAGTGTATATGGCCTGCGCCCTAACCACTGAGCTACAGGCACCAAGCCCTGACTAATTTCTTGTTGTAGTTGTTGGTTAGCAGGAGCGGGCCAGGTTGAACCCACCAGGCATGGTATATGTGGCCAGCACCCTAACCACTGAGCTAAGCCTGAGTTCCTTTGTTAAACAGATTAGAATTCATAGCAGAAAACCCCTCTCCAATTCATCCACTGCAATGTTTCTTCCTTAGATCTCAATGAAAGGTTGATCTTTCTAATCTAGCTCCAGCTCATCTGACTTATAACTTAGCAGGCTCAGCTCACACAAACATCTAACACCTTCCCCGAAAGTTCCTGTCACTTCTGTGGGATGCAGTCCACAAATCTGGCATGGGCCCTCATCAGGGTAGCCACTGTCTGCTGCCTCCTGAGCAGGCCCCCATGCAGGTCCTGCAACTGAAGACGCTTAGCTGCTGAGGTGAATGAGCAGCTGCCATGCCTCAGCTCCCAGCTTCCCTTTTAGCCTGGATCCTACTGGGGTACAAAAACCTTAACAAGCTTTGGCTTTTCTTATCTTACCTCCCAAAGGTCAGACCCTGGTTAGTTCCTGGGATGGAGACTGTAGTTCATCCTGGCCCCTCCTCTGACTGAGATGTCTACATCTCCTTTCTCCTACTGGTCCCTGACTCCGGGTAAGGACTCTTATCTGCACTCCAGCACTTCATAAAGCTGAAGGCCAACGTTGCCACCCCCCGAGAGGGGCACTCCCTGCCTGTTCCTGGAGTATTCTCAACACGATGATTTGCTCTTTGGACTCCGCATTCTGCACACTGGCCAGGTGAACATGGTCATAAACCTTCCTTCTTGGGGATCCTTGAGCAGCCTCTCCCGGAGGTAGACAACAGTGTCACCTGGTGACCTAAGTGGAAGAGCTGGGCCCGGAGCCTGCACTTTCTGTCCTCACACTGGCCTTTCCTTTCTGCCACTCACTGCTTAGCCTGGTTACTGGCTGCGGACGACGCGGCCCGGCCACGTACAACAAAGATTTTCTGGAAGACGCTCCTGCAAAGCAAGTCTCCGAGCAGGCCAAATGGGGGCTTGCTTACGGAAAAGGTTCGCTTACGCAAGAAGCGCTGCCTTGTTCCACGTTAGGCGCAGACTGGGAGACAGTAGGCTGCCGACTTGGGATGGGCGCCAGGACGGGGGCTTGTGGGAGGCCCTCCCGGCAAGGCGTCCCCGGCTCCGCCCCAGCACATCGGCGCGGCAGGCTACGAAGGACTTGCGGCGTCAGAGCTGCGAGAGCAGTGGGAGCTCAGACTGATTTGTCATCTTCACACAGGGAAGGGAGGGCCTCTGGATCAAACAGAGGAAACTGCCAATTCAACTTCCACCGACCCCCAAACTTCACTTCCGTTTCCGTATACGTCACTTCCGCGGTATTGAGCTAGCTACTTAAGCCTTTCAGAGACCCGGAAACGAGGCGTGATGCGGCACGTGCAGAGCAATGCGCTCCCCTGGGAATTCTGGGAAATGTCGTTTTCCTGCCCCTATAAGTGCCGAGGCGGGGCTCCCCGGGGACTGGGGCGGAAAGGGCGGTTCCTGAGCCGTTCGAGTACGCGGTGTTGCGCAGACGCGGAATCGGATGCGGTGAAGACGCTACGGGGCTACTATGGTCGGGGACCGGTTTGCAGGCGGACCGGAAGTGCCCGGCTCCGCGGCGGAATGGTTAGTTTGGACCCCGGGAGTCGAGCTTGGGGGTGGTCAGGGGAGGCCTGAGGGCGCGGTGGCTGAGGCGGGCGGACCCGTGAACAGCCAAGGGGATTCCGGTGTCAGGCTGCTCGAGAAGCGCGGGGTTGGGGTCAGGTCCCGAGCCTGGGAGCCTAGGTGGCGAGGTGGGCTTGGCTCCTCTCGAGGCGAGACCGAGGCTTGGGGAAGACGAGGGGCCTGCAGAGTCACGCAGCTGGGCAGAAGTAGCGTCCTCTTTGTGGGCTGGGGATCTAGAGTCACGACAGCGGGGAGGCCCCAGTCCTGACCTGCCTGCGACTATTGAGGCCGCTGCTGGCCGGCCCGCGTGATCTGAACTGCGCTGTGTTCCAGCTCCCCTGAGCGCCTGGGGCCGCCACCCGCAGAACATGTACCTGGCGCGTCTGACTTCTCAGCTTCTTAAGGCTGTCCCCTGGGCAGGTAAGCGGCCCTGTGGGAGCAGATGGGAGGGATGCAACATCTGGTTAGGACTGTGGATCTCAGCAGCCAACCCGTTGACAGCTGCAGGCAGGCGACTTTCTGACCAAACCCTTCCCCTGTAAACTTCCAAGTATGCCAAGGGGAGGTCTTGCCCTGATCAGCAGGGCTTGCTGCTCCCTGGACCCAACAGCCTCACGAGGGGTGACTGCCATCTTGTTTCCTGCAGGCTGCAGTCGGCCCTGGCCTCTCTCAGGAATGTTGGGCAATCATGCCCACAGGCCCCAGTACAGCACGAAGCCAACAGGCCCAAGGAGAGCTGCCTCCCTCCCTGGTAAGGGGGCCCAGCTGGAGCTTGAGGAGATGCTAGTCCCCAGGAAGATGTCCATTAGCCCAGTGGAGAGCTGGTTCTCTGCCCGGCATCTCATGCCTAGACTGGATGCTGGGGCCCTTGGGGCTGTGGCTGCAGTGAAGTTTTATGAATGTCCACCTAGCCAGGTGGGAGAAGGGGCCAAACAGAAGGGTGAGGGGGTCTGGGGTGCACCTTGCATGCAGTGCAAAAATGTGCTAAAGATCCGCCGGCGGAAGATGAACCACCACAAGTACCGAAAATTGGTCAAGAGGACACGATTTCTGCGACGGAAGGTCCGGGAAGGACGATTGAAACGGAAGCAAGTGAGTGGGCCCCTTTTCAGCCCTGGGTGGGCAGAGTGCTGAGAATACATGGTTTTGCCACAGGTTAGTTGGTGATTTCTTCTGCTGTCCTTGCAGATCAAGTTTGAAAGAGACTTGAAGCGCATCTGGCTGAAGGCAGGCCTGAAGGAAGCTCCCAAAGGCTGGCAGACCCCCAAGATTTATCTGAAGGGCAAATGAGTCTGGTTTCCCAGTCCCCTGCCCCTGTTGTTGCCGGTGACCTGTTGTAATAAATGTGTAGAGGACTCAACTGTCTTGAGCTAGCCTGGAGACTCTCCTTTCTGGTGTGAGCTGTTTTGGGTTAGAGGCAGTCACTGTTCTCTAGTGTTACAGGAACCCCGGACACCAGGTGGCAAGATGGCTGTCCCTTTTTATTTTTAGAGACAGTGTCTCACTGTGTCGCCCTGGGTAGAGTGTTGTGGCATCACAGCTCACAGCAACTTCAAACTTTTGGGCTTAAGCAATTATCTATGTCTCAGCCTCCCAAGTAGCCAGGACTACAGGCACCCACCATAACACTCGGCTATTTTTTGTTGCAGTTACTGTCTAGCAGGCCCAAGTTGGCCTCAAACTCACCAGCTCCAGTGTATGTGGCCGGTGCCTTAACTGCTGAGCTACAGGCACCAAGCGGCTATCCCTTTTTATAGCTGGCCCTTATCCCCAACCCTGACAGTACTGGGCCTGTGGGAACAACAGCCTTGCTATAAATGAGTGTGTGCTGTGTGCCTAGGCAGGACTGGCTTCTATGGCCCCTCCCTTAGTTTATGTTCCTTTGGGGACACACTTCAGGAGTACACAGATGGCAGAAATGCCGAGAATAGCCCTGGGAGTATGACTAAGTTGTATTTTTTTTTTTTTTGAGACAAGAGTTTCACTTTGTTGCCCTCGTAGAGTGCTGTGGCGTCACAGCTCACAACAACCTCCAGCTCTTGGGCTTAAGCGATTCTCTTGACTCAGCCTCCTGAATATCTGGGACTACAGGTGTCCACCACAATGCCCCGGTATATTTTTTGTTGCAGTTTGGCTGGAGCCAGTTTGAACCCACCACCCTCCGTATATGGGGCAGGCGCCCTACTCACTGAGCCACAGGTGCTGCCCTGACTAAATTGTGTTCTATGAGTGAGGGTTGAAGGAGGTTCTTGTGTCCCTCAAGATGTTGGATGGTGCAAGCTTCACAAACTTGGGCCGCCAGTGGACCCCTGAGCTGTTGTGCTGTGCTAGCACAGTCACATCTAGTTGCAGGGACTAGCAGGCGTCCTCAGACTGCAGCCCCCCCACGGACATTTATTTGGCCTGCCAGGTGTTTTTGCCGCTGCTGCCTGTCCTGCTTCACAGCCAACTGGGCCCTCCAACGGTCTGAGGGACAGTGAACTAGCCCCCTGTTTAAAAAGTTTGAGGACTCAGGCAGCGCCTGTGGCTCAGTGGGTAGGGTGCTGGCCCCATATACTGAGGGTAGTGGGCTCAAACCCAGCCCTGGCCAGACTGCAACAAAAAAATAGCCGAGTGTTGTGGCGGGCGCCTGTAGTCCCAGCTACTGGGGAGACTGAGGCAGGAGAATCACCTAAGCCCAAGGAGTTGGAGATTGCCATGAACTGCTGACACCACAGCAGTCTACTGAGGGTTAATAAGTGAAACTCGGTCTCAAAAAAAAAAAAAGTTTGAGGACTCCTGGACTAGGGTGTTGGCGTGCTCCCAGCCTTCCCAGGTGCCTCAGTTTGGGTGGGACAATTCTGGCTTACTGTTGGTGCCTTGGCATATGCCACTTCTGGGGTTCCTGAGTGGGAGTTGGGCTTATTAGGATGGGGTGACCCAGAGATTGTGCTTTGGAAAGTTCAGGGTTAGGCTTGGCTGAGGAAGGGACAGAGTTCACAGAGCTGGAGAAGCCCTAGAGTTTTGGTTCAAGCTGGAGGCCACTGGTGATCCTAGGTTCCTCTCTGGGTGGAGAAGAATACATTATCTCTAATATCAGGGAGTCTGGGGGATTCTTGAGCTTCTGCCTTAAGGCACAGGGCCCTGGGCTGCAGGCTGGGAATCCTGGCTGGGATACCAGGAATCCCGTCTTGGCTTGTTCTCATCAGTCTTGCTCCTTGACAAGTGAGTTACAGGAGAGGAAAACCAGCACATCTTCCCAAGGCCCTCAAGTGGAGACCCTACCCTCCTACCATCTGCCCTGTGTTAGCTTGTGTCTCCATGATGGCTTCTTGTTTTGTTTTGTTTTAAAATGGTTCTCACTCTGTAATCCAGGCTGGAGTGCAGTGATAGAATTACAGCTCACAGCAACCACAAACTCCTGGGCACCAGTGATCCTCCTGCCTCAATCTCCTGAGTAACTGCGACTACAGGCACCTACCACGATGTCCACCTAGTTTTTCTACCTTTCATATAGACAGGATTTCGCTCTTGCTCAGGCTAGTCTTGAACTCCTGAGTTCAAGGGATCCTTCTGCTTCAGCTTCCCAGAGTGCTGGGATTATAGGTGTGAGACACATGCTTGTCCTACCAGCAATGTCTAGAACAAAGCAAACTTGATAACATGTGTTGGTCCAAGGAGCCCAGTGGGCCCAGGCCCTGCACATTCTAATCAGTAAGGTAAACATGCTCCAAACAGCTGGGTCTTGTCTGGGCCCTTCTCATTCTGGGGATATGGTCTCACTCAGAGACTGTGCAATAGGCCCTGGGAGGCTGAGGGTTGGCTGTAGTCTGGAGGGGTCCAGAGGATGTTGGGTGGGGGGTGCTTCCCTAGCCACCACAAGGGTGCAGTAGCTCCCAGGGTCTAGGCTGAGAATGAGGACACTGGAAGTTCTTTGCAGGCCCACAACTGGGGTCACAGGCACCCTTTTAGGCCTTGGCTTCCTCAACTGTGACTGAGGTAGAAGTCCCAGGGCCAGGGGGAGGGTTGGAGAGAAGTGGGTGCTGAGCCACACTGTATGGGACTGAGCCTTCATAGCTCAGCTGGGAGGCCTGAACAGGGGTAGCCGACCTGGCAGCACTTGTGGGCCTCAGACCCACATTGACCATCTCTGCCCTGGTGTGTGGGCAGGCTGGGGTGCTCAAAAGAGACAGCCCAACCTTGGCTCTAGCCACTCGGCCTCACAATTCTTCCATAGCTGGGCACTCTGCCACATCAAGTAGGAAGGTACTATTTATAATGATGGCTGGTCAGGGACGTTGCTAATGACCTATAGCACACAGGACACCCCATAACAGAACCACAGCCCTAGATGTCATGGTCTAGTTGAGGACAAAACCACAGCCCCAGGTGTCATGGTCCTGTTGGGGCAGCACTGGGGCTATCTTAGTCTGTCCTCTGCACTCCATACCCCTCCTTCAGGGCCTGGACCCTGCCTTTGGCTTGGAAGCCTTTGTTGCCAGCCACAACCTCGGAGGCAATTTGGGGTTTTATTTTTATCTTTGTGACTCCTCCCAGGCCACAAGAGGTTGCCCTCCCTTCCATGTGGAACTTTCACCCTGTCTCCCAGCATGTGGAACCTGTGGTCCCTGCTTCCTATTGTCTCAGTGCAATGCTGGGCGTTCTCTGGGTACAGGAGCAGAGGTGGGTGGGGGCCTGCCAAGCTGCCTGTGTGATGTGGTCTTGCCTGCGATGTGTCCCACACTCTGGCTTGTCCTAGGAATGGTTGGGCTTGGGTTCCAGCCAGGGGTGGCCCCAGCCAGGGCCAGAGCTGGTAGGACACATGCTGTGGGCCCTGCTCAGGCACATGGTGGGTTGTGGCAGCCACCAGAGTAAGGGTCATGTCAGTGAACTCACACCTGCCAGTGCCAGCACTTTCTGGGCACTCCCTTGAGCCTGGGCCTGTTTTGTGTGTCCAGACCAGCCATGGTGCTGCGGCTTCAGACTCTCTCCTGGCTTGGGAGCTACAGCTTCTGCTCCCAGTACTCTAGCCAGGGGCCTGCTCTTCTCAGATGCACACATTTGAGATGCAGCACATACATGTCCAGGTCAGACAGGCTGTGCTCCCCATTGCCTCAGTGGCATGCAGGCTGGTGGGGCACAATGGTGAGACCCTCAGTGAAGCCTGGAGAGCAGAGCTACCCCTGACGCCAGCCAAGGCTGCTGAACTCTGGGAAGGACACTCCCTGCTCTGGAGCTCGAGGATCTGCCTGCCATAGTTTTAGAAACACCCCTACTTCCCACAGCACAGCCCCCAATGTGGGGCACATCAGAGCTGAGGGTGGGATTCAGAGGGTGGCAACAGGGCTCCCTGTCAGTGTCTGCTCCATATTGAACCTAGCCTGGCTGGTCCCACGAGGCTGTGGATGAGCTAACAGTCCTGCACTCACCCATCTGTGGTCACAGCAACAAAGTGGCTGAGACCAGAGTGGGCCTCTGAGGCTTTGCTGTTGGGAAGGCCCATGTCACCGTCATGGGCCCAGTGAGCTGACCCTGGGTACTACAGAGCATGTCCCAGGCCTCACAGCCCAGCAAGATGGTTTCCTTTCTTATGCAACTGTTTTCTTGTCCAATTTAACTTCTTTTGCAGTTTTCCACCTAACTAACCCCAATTCCACCCAACTTGCTGACAAAGTACTGAAACTCTCTGTTCAGTCTGTTTGCTCTGGTGCTTCTTTCTGCCCCCCACAGGACACCCACTGGTGGCTACAGGGCCTTCCTGGGGTTCCCTTTGCCTCCTCAGCTCACTCCTGTTTCAGGGATGCCACATTCTTATCTTTCTTGGTTTCCTCCTCTCTCTTTGCATGGAGTACATCCTTTAGTTGCTTGGAGAGAAAAACACATGGGAGATAAAGTACATAACAAAATAATAATAATGGCTTGGCACCTGTAGCTCGGTGGCTAGGGCACCAGCCATATACACTGGAGCTGGTGGTTTCAAATCCAGCCCAGGCCAACTAAAAAGTAGCTTGGGGCTCAAGTGGCTAAGGTGCCAGCCACATACACCTAAGCTGGCGGGTTCAAATCCAGCCCAGGTCCTCCAAACAATGACAGCTGCAACCAAAAAATAGCCGGGCACTGTGGCGGGCACCTGTAGTCCTGGCTACTTTGGAGGCAGAGGCAGAAGAATCACTTGAGCCCAGGAGTTGGACATTGCTATGAGCTGTGATGCCACAGCACTCTACCCAGGACAACAGCTTGAGGCTGTCTCAAAAAAAAAAAAAAAAAATAGCTGGGCATTGTGGTCAGTGCCTGTAGTCCCATCTACTTTGGAGTCTGAGACAAGAGAATTGCTTAAGCCCTAGAGTTGGAGTTTGCTGTGAGCTGTGACACCATGGCACTCTACCCAGGGCAACAGCTTGAGGCTCTGTCAAAAAAAAAAAAAAATAGTTGGGCATTGTGGCTGGCGCCTGTAGTCCTAGCTACTTGGGAGGCTGAGGCAAGAGAATCGCTTAAGCCCTAGAGTTGGAGGTTGCTGTGAGTTGTGATGCTACGGCACTCTACTGAGGGCAACATAGTGAGACTCTGTCTCAAAAAAATAAATAAACGTAAAAAAATAAAAGAATAATAATTGATGTATTGAGTGGGTTGCCTCTACCACAGGTGTCATGCTAAGTTCTTTATGGGAATTATTTCATTTCACAACAGATCTATATCCCTGTTTTATTGGTGAGGGCCCTTAAGTACAGAGATTAACTTGCCAGGAAGCCATGATTCAGCCCTATGTCTGTGTGACTCCAAAACTTGATTTTTTATTTTTTTGAGACAGCATCTTGCTCTCCCACCTGGGCTAAAGTATTGCGGTATCAGACTAAATCACTGGAACCTCAGACTCTTGGGCTTGAGTGATCTTCCTGCCTCAGCTTTCCAAGTAGCTGGGACTACAAGCATCTGCCACAATGCCCAGCTATTTTTAGTAGAGGTATGGTCTTGTTCTTGCTGAGGCTGGTGTCTGACTCCTTATAACTCCAGTGATCCTCCTGCCTTGGCATCACAGAGTGCTGCAATTATAGGTGAGAACCACTGTGCCTACCTGCCACGTTTTTAAGTTAGTGGTTTTCAGACTTTTGGGACCAGTTCTAAAAATAAGAAACATGCCAGGTGCCTTAGCCACTTGAGCCACAAGCGCCGAGCCGAAATAATGTTTCTGTATTTTCACATTTGCTTGATCGCATTTTCAGATCACAGTGTTGTCTGGATAGGTCATGTGATGGGTGACTTCTCAAGGTTTTCTGATGTGGAATCTGCAGACCACCCCATCAGAAACCATCAGGATCCCAGAGGGAGGACCCACCCACCTGCAAGGACTGCCTCCCAGAGATGTGGTCAGAGCAGCAAAAAAGCAGGCTGCTAGGGCAGGGAAGGGCTCCTGTGGCCTGTGGAGCAGCTGCACTGTCTCAGGTCAGCCTCCCGGGTACAATGGATGAATACATCCTGAGATGAGGAAAGACCCATAGCCCAGCAGCATGCCAATACCTGGCCCACTGCCTCAGCTGAGTAGGAACCAGGCTCATCTCCTTTCCTTGCAGAACGTGCTGTGATCTCACCTTACAGTCTGCCTTGCTTTTGTTCCAGGAGTCAGTTGATTGGTTTTCTATCTAGTCATTAGCTTAACGCAAAACATTATCATCTCAGTTGTGAGGGTTAAAGCCTGGATGGTTAGCTCAGGGTCTCCCCAGGCTGATGTTAGTGTCAGGGAGAGCCATGTTTCTCTCTAAGTCTGCAGTCTCAGTGCAGTTAGCAGCCACAAGACTGAGGTCAGATTCTTGGGGCTGTCAGCTGGGCCACCCTCACCCCCTTAGGCTGCCCCGAGGTGCTTGCCTCCTGGCCCACCCAGGAGATTGTCTCCTGATGGCAACCTCTTGAGGCCTAATCAAGGGTACGAGGGGACCTAAGGGATCTTGGGGACTACCCTAGAGTTCTGCTATTACATGGCTTTACAGGGGCTGTTTCCCTGGAATGTATGTGTAAATCTCATGTGAGCACCAGCCACCACAGTGTCTTCTTGAGCCAGCAGACCAGGTCCCCGGGGCCTGCTGTGGGCTCACTGCTTCCTCTACCTGGGAGACGGCCTCCTTTGGCCTGGGCTGGACCTATTCTCATGTTGTGTGAGTCCCTTCTCTGTTGGTCCCTCCAAGAAAGACCTACCCTGTGGCATCCTCTCCCAGGACTTCCTACAGGCTGTGAGCACCAGGCTGTCCCCTTTTCCCAGAGGGGCTGCAGGTCCAGTTTAACTCTGAGGTCCCCCTTTGGGGCAAGTCTACACTCAGTGGGCGCTCAGTAGAGCTTGCTGAGCCACAAACAATGCCCATCTGTGTGGATGAGTGATGCGATGTGTGTCCATGGGTGTTGAGTCTGTCTTTATGTCTGTGTCTATTGTGTGTGTATGTCTGTCTATGTGATGCAATGTGTGTCCGTGTGTGCTCATGTCTGTATGTCTACATGCATGTGTTTGTGTCTGTTTCTAACTCTGTGTGTTTCTATGTGTCTGTGTATGTGGCTCTGTATATCTGTGTGTATATTTGTGTCTGTGTGTGTGTGTCTGTATCTGTGGGTGGGTTTGTATGTCTGTGTGTGTGGGACTCTGTGTGTGTGTGTGTGTGTGTGTGTGTGTGTATGGCTGGGTCTGGTTGCATCTCTGAGCCTGTGGTTTTTCTTCCCTATGAGCCAGGCTGCCTGGAATGTCCAAGTCACCAGGAATGGGAGCCAACATCTGACCCTCGGCTCTGAGCCCAGCAGGGCTGGCTCACCCCCTTGCTCAGCCACACCCAATAGGAGGCGGGAAGGAGGGTCCCAGGCTTTGGTCTGTTTGGGGGCTTGGCCAGAGCATGGAGATGCCAGTGACTTTGTTTTGCCATGGTCTGTCCTCTCCCCAGACGGGGCTGGGGCATGGTGAGCAGGCCATGGGCTCTCAGGACCCTACAGTCCAGCCCAGGCAAGGCAGCAGGGACTCAGGCCTCAGGGGAGGGTAGGTGGCCTGGTCAGCTCCCCAGGCTGCCCACTGGGCCTCTGCTTTCCTCTGTGGATGTTTTTTCCTGGGGATGGGGGCTGCAGCCCCTTCACTGCTCATCCTGGACCTACCAGCATTGGGCAAAGAGAATAGGATAAGCAGGGAACAGGGGGTTGCAGCCCTCCAGGGTCCTATGTGTCTTCACCCTGGGGCTCAAGGGCGTCAGCTTCCCCCCCCCCCCCCGCCAATTGCTTTCTCAGAGGCCAGTGTCCACTCAGACTTTGGCATCAGGCCCTGTGGCCTGTATCAGGGCTGGCTGGGTCTGCAGCCTGAGGGTCTCACCGAGCTTCCTGAAACACAGCCTGAGGCCGGGGAACTGCTGGGGAGGGAGGCCCTGCGGGAGATCAGGGTGCTTGGCCTGCAGCAGAGGTGGGGGTCAAGCGCCCCTCCTTACCCTGTCCCTCCAGCACTGCTTGGACGTCTTCCCTGCACAGGGAGAGGCAGAGTCCGAGGTGGAGACAGACAGACATGTTGTGGGAGGGCGGCCGCCAGTGCTAATGGAAACCATTTGGAAGAGCAGGAGGCAAAGCCAGGTGGGGCTTGTTTTTCCAGAATGAAAGGCCCAGGGAAGAGCTGGCAGGGATAAGTTCAAGACCAGATTCCAGCTCAGGAAAGGGGCTCTGCCCAGGGCTTGGGTCCTGTGGAGGAAATGGGTCCATCGGCCTGTGGGGGCTGTGTCTGCTCACTAGAGAGCCCCCTCCCCTTGCCTGGAGCCCATGAATCTGAGCTGGACTGGCCCCTAGTTTGTTTGAGGGCCTGGGGACAGGGCAGGGCCCAGGGTGAGACCTCTATCCCTTAGGGACTGGGCCTGCACGGTCAGCTCAGGCTAAATGGGCAGCCTCAATATGCACTAAGGGTTTTTGTGGTGGTTTGAAATTTTTGGGTTTTTTTTTTGTGTGTGTGGTTTGCTTAACTAAAAGGAGTGGGTTTGGTACACAGTGTGTGCTCTGTTATTTCCCATTGTTTATGTGATTTTGTAAGTTTTCCCAGACCTTCAAATTTATGCCTTCTGTTGAGGGGGAGGGTCCCACTCCCCGCTTCTCTTCGTGAGTGTCTCCCAGGAGTACTGTGACCTGGGTCTGGGCAGGTGGGGGGTCTCTCAGGAGCACTTTGATCCTGGTCTGGTTTCAGAGACACCCCAGTGGTCAATCCCCAATGGGAGACTGGACCAGAAGTAGAGAGGTCAGCTCACTCCAGGTTCCCATGTCAGGGTTCCCCCCATCTCCCTGGCTGACTTCTTTGCATCATAAAGATGACTGAGCTGCCCACCATCATGTCCCAAGGGAGCTGACCACAGATGGCCCCCAGAGGAGAAGGCACATCCAGGTTGTCCCCAGCTAAAGGTCAGAGCTGGAAAAGCCTCCTGGTTGCAGTGTAGAGGCAGCTGCCTTTCTGCCTGGAGCAGACAGAAGACCTGCCCTCACTGTGTCCAGGCTGTTCACATGGGGTAATGAGGAGGTGGGGGAGAGTAGGCCACTCTCCCCAGAACCTCACCAGTACCCAGGAAGGGTCTCAGATGTCACAGACAACCCTTAGACCATCAGGGGTCCACACCCTCAGGCCTTCTTGCCCCTTTGAGAACCCACCTCAAGGAGCTGGGACTGTTCCCACCCTCTCTGGGGCAGGGTGGCTGCAGTGCCGCCTTCCTGCCTGGCCAGCCAAAGCTGGGGGTGGCCAGGGGCCCTGTGGAGCTGGAAGGGGCGGTCTATAGCCTGTCCACAGCCCAGGGCTCCGTGATGTCATAGCGGGTGCTCCAGAGGGGGAGGAGAGGAGGGGGCCTGGCTGTTTTTCTGGAGAGCTAGAGCTGAAGTGAAACAAAGCAGCTGCAGGGCTGGGTTGGGGCCATGGCGCTGCCGTCCCACATCCTGCTGTGGAAACTTGTGCTTCTAAGGAGTGAGTGTGGGGTGTGGGGTGGCCAGGGGGCTATCTGTAGAGTGAATGTGGGGTGTGGGGTGGCCAGGAGGGGTGTGTGGAGTGAGTGTGGGTGCAGTGTGGCCAGTGGGGCTAAGTAAACTTGTGTTTTGTCAGACTCTGGCAGAAGAGGTGGGATGCTCCCATAAGGCAAGGGGCCGGGTCTGGGGGACTTAAAGAGCTGCTAACCAGGAGGGCACGATGCCTTCAGTTAGATTGTGGCCATACTCCCATCTCAGGATGCTGGAGCCTAGAGGCCAAAAAGGGGGGTGCTGAAGAGTGGGATTCCTCCCTCAGTACCCCTTCCACCTCCCATTGGGGCTCTGGGGGAAGCCCCTCAGGTCTGTAGGTCTCCCAGTCTTGGGGAAGGGAGTGGGCTTGAGGATTGAAGGGCCTGAGAATTCCGGGGTTTGCAGAGTCTCTTCCAGGACCCCTCCTGGGCCCCTGAGCCCTGCTGACCCAGCACATTCCTCTGGGAAGCTCCCAGGCACTCAGCCACATCTCTGGAGCAGCATTTTCATTTAGGACTTAGGATGACAGCACTCTCCAAGGAGTAGGAGAGACACATACAACTCGAGGAAAATAAAAATTTTATTACAGGCCCTGGAGATGCAAGGCACACCTGGAGCCACATACAGGGAAGCCATGGAAAGAGAGAGGGCCTCACCAAACAGTCTTTCTGAGGGGGCTTTAGTCAGTGGATCTAAAGCCATCAGCTCAAGCTCTGGGGGTACACTATGACTAAGGGGCCACTGCAGCAGGCCTCCCAGCCCATATGCATATGGGGTCAGTAGGCTGCATCTAGCCATCCCTTAGGGAGGTGGTCCCCAGAAGCAGTGGCATTAGGCAGGTATCTGGAGCAGCTCTCAGATGAGGAACTGAGTGAGGGAGAGGTGTAGAACTAGATAACATGTCCAGGGCTACAGCTCTGCTTCCAACTTGAGAAAGTCCAATTTTTATTCAAAAAGGATGCCAAGGCAACCTAAGATTATAAGAATCAACAGGATCACTGGGGTGGTGGATAGGGGTCACTCCCTACTAGCCTTCTTGTGCTTCAGGCCCCTGCCCCTGGGGAAATTCAGCAGGGCTCCACTCTGAGCCCTGGGGGTGGAGTGGGACTCCTGGGGGGGTCTAAGGACCCTGCCTCTGGACGTGTGGGGAGGCCCCAGAGTCAGACCCGGGCTACAGGCTTCTCTGCTTTGGACTTGGCTACAGCGATGGGGTGATGGCCACCATTCCTGAGAAGTGGCATTGGGGACACACACACTCCAGAGTCAACCTGCATGGGCTCCAGTCCTGGCCCACCTCTCACCCCCTGCTTCCTCGCTCCTGGAGGGCTGGTGCTGTCTCCATAGCCCAGGCAGGGCAGCGTGAGAGTTGAGAGGGTGCTGTATGAGAAGCATCCCACCTGTGTCCTCAGCCTTCAGCCTCACCCCCTAACTGTTTAGTGGGCCTCACAGCAGCCTCATCGCCTTAGACCACAGGAGGGGTCCAGGGACGAAGTGGGGGTTCCTGGGAAAAGGGGTGAATGGGGGTGCAGAGTCTGAGGTAGCACCCCTCCCTCCTCTTCCAGGCTCTGCTGTTCTTCTGTACTCAGGTTAGTGCCCATCTGCCCCAGCCCCCCTCAGGCCCCTCCCATCCTGCCGGGTCCACCCTGGGCCTATCCCTTTGGGTCCTACCCTTTCTCCTCTCACGCTCCATTCCCCACCAGGGCCCGCAGGGCCCCCAACCGCGGGCAGCTCCGTGGTGTCTGAGTCCAAGGTGAGCTGGGCAGCGGGCTCCGCGGTGGTGTTGCGCTGCCAGAGTCCGCGCATGGTGTGGACCCAAGACCGGCTGCACGACCGTCAGCGCGTGGTCCACTGGGACCTCAGCGGCGGCCCCGGCGGCCCAGCCCGCCGCCTTGTGGACATGTACTCGGCAGGCGAGCAGCGCGTGTACGAGCCGCGCGACCGTGGTCGCCTCCTGCTGTCGCCCTCCGCCTTCCACGATGGGAACTTCTCACTGCTCATCCGCGGTACGGAGCTGAGCCGGGGCTGGGCCGTGGCTGGGCCGTGGCTGGGCCTGGGCTGGAGGAGAGGCTCATGTGCGGTTTCTCCTGGCGCGCAGCGGTGGAGGAGACAGACGCGGGGCTGTACACCTGCAACCTGCACCACCACTACTGCCACCTCTACGAGAGCACGGCCATCCGCCTCGAGGTCAACGACAGCCGTAAGCGCGCCCCTCCTGTCCCCACCCATTCCCCGGCCGGCAGGCCACTGACCGCGCCCCTCCGCAGCTGTGGCGGCCGGCGCGTACTGGGACGGCGAGAAGGAGGTTCTGGCGGTGGAGCGCGGCGCGCCCGCGCTGCTGACGTGTGTGAATCGCGCGCAAGTGTGGACCGACTGGCACCTGGAGGAGGCGCAGCAAGTGGTGCACTGGGACCGGCAGCCTCCAGGGGTGCCGCACGACCGCGCCGACCGCCTGCTTGACCTGTACGCGTCAGGCGAGCGCCGCGCCTACGGGTCGCCCGTCCTGCGTGACCGCATGGCGGTGGGGACGGATGCCTTTGCACGCGGGGACTTCTCGTTGCTCATTGACCCACTGGAGCCGGCCGACGAGGGCACCTATTCCTGCCACCTCCACCACCACTACTGCGGTCTGCACGAGCGCCGCGTCTTTCACCTGCGAGTCACTGAGCCGGCCGCGGAACCGCCCCCCCAGGACTCGCCAGGCAACGGTTCCAGCCACAGCGGCGTCCCTCGCCCAGGTGCGGGAGGTCACTCTGGGGACCTGGGGGTATGCCTTTCGTGGGGGACGTGTTCCGCGCCCAAGGACCTTAAGCACAAGGGTGTCCCCCTCGGTCTTGGGCTGCTGTGATCCGCTTGACCCTTGGCCAAGGCTCACGGGGCCTAGCGGCTGCCGCCTGACTCAGGGACATCGTGGAGGGTCCCTGACTGCTTCCGCACGCACTATCCTTGCAGACCCCACGCTGGCGCGCGGCCGCAGCGTCATCAACGTCATTGTACCTGAGGGCCGTGCACACTTCTTCCAGCAGCTGGGCTACGTGCTGGCAGTGCTGCTGCTGTTCATCCTGCTGCTGGTCACCGTGCTTTTAGCCGCGCGCGGGCGCCGCCGCCGAGGTGAGCAGGGCTTATGGGCAGGACATCCTTCCTGGATCGAGGCATCCTGGGGCAGTGGGAGTTGGGGAGGGAGCGACAATGCCCCCAATTCAAATCTCTCTCCCTAGGCTATGAATACTCAGACGAGAAGCACGGGGAGTCATGGCGGTGAGTGGCCCCTCCTGGGGATCAGGCCCCACTTCCCACTGCTGTGACCTCCCACCTCTCTCCTCCCCAGGAAGGACATGAACGCGGGAGAGCCTGCTGTGGCTACAGGGGACCAGGCTCTGTACAAGAATGAGGACATCCAACTTGGTGAGGGGCTGGGACACCCACAGAGTGGCTCCCAGGGCTGGTCTGGAGAGGTACATCTTTGGGAGGGGCAGACCTCACCCTGCTCTCCCTCCACCAGATTTCAAAAACAACATACTGAAGGAGAAGGCAGAGCTGGACCACGGCCTCCTGCCTGCCAAAAACATTGACCTGGACAGAGGTGAGTGGCTGGGGAGTATGTCCTCAGCCAACCCCAGAGCTCCTCCCCCTGCACCTTGGCTCCCCAGTGGCTGGGAGATCCTGCAGGGTGTCTGCTCTGAGCTTCCCACTGGGGTGAAGGCAGAGAGCAGACACCAGCTTGTTCCTTTGGCTTCCAGAGTTCAGGAAGGAGTACTGCAAATAAAATGACTCTGGGCTTCTGGCTGGGCCAGCAGTTCTGCCAACTCCTGTGTCCACCTCGGGGGACATGTCCTGACCCTCACATAGCTCACCCAACCCCCTTCCAGCGGCTGGTCCCGCTTTCCTGGAACTTGGCCAGGTGCAGAGGCCACCTCCACACCTCTCTCCCAGGGACTCTGGGGGGGGGGCTTTAGTCACACCTCCAGATCACTAGTGGCCCTGCCCACTGCCTCCCATGTCCACCAAGCCCTCAGCCCTGTGGGCTGTGGCAAGAAGCCACTCTTGGAGGGGGCTCAGAACAGGCAGCCTTGGAGGAGCTGGGGTCAGCCTCAGGGCTGGTGCCCACCTCTCTCCTTTAGGAGCCATGCTCAGCCCCACCAGGCCACAATCTGTTCTGAATGGGGACCTGAGGAGCAGCCAATGCCAGGCCCCAGGTTAAGGCTCCTCTGTGCTGCTTTGGGCCACTGGGCTGCCCATGGCCCTTACTGCTTCTACTCCTGCCCAGCTTTGCCCTCAATGGGCTGTCCTGACAGTCACTGGATTCCATGTGACTTTTGACCCTGACACCCTTTCCTTGTTTCCTCCCTGAGCTAGAGTTGGGGGTGAGGGCCACATCTGGCTTCACTATTGGCTGAAAACAGGGGAAGGGGTGAGTGAAAACAATTCTGCCACTTCTGACACCCTACCCTTGTTCCTGCTGGTAGAAATATTACCATCACAATAAAGGCTTGGCCCAGATATGCCTCTGAAAATCCCCCTGGCTCCCAGGGAGGGGACTGAGTCTGGACCTTGGGAACCCCCAGTGCTTTCCTGACTGTTCATTCATTTGTCCCACTGTCATTGTTTCCTTTGAGTGGAAAGTCTGGGTCTGAGTTCTCCCACAGGCAAGTGTTCTGGGAAGGGAACATTGAGCCAATTCTGTGTTGTTTACTCCCGTTTCAGATCTTCTTTTTAAAATTTTATTTAGCTATGGGTCTCTGTTGCCCACACTGGAGTGCACTGGTGTAATCATAGCTCACTGCAGTCTTGAACTCAGAAACTCGAGCCATCCTCCTGCGTTGGCCTCCCAAAGTGTGGGGTAGATCCTCTTCTGAGGGTTTATTTGGACAAGGGGAAAGGGAATATGCTGGTGGCTATGGGGACAAAGAGAGGAAGCTGTGTTAGTTCAGTCCTCTGGGAAGCAGACAACTCAGATGGGATGAAGGGAAAGGGGCAGGCCTGATTCTCATGAAGGGCAAGGCAAGGAAGAAGGCGCCGGCAGAAAGTGGCCCAGACTGCAGGGCAGCTCCAACTAAGTCCTGGCCTGACCACCAAAGGGTCCAGCACTGGAATCCTTTTTTGTTCAGTCACTGGCTGGTCAGGCTGCATGGTCTTGGCATAGATGTGGGATCAGATTTAGAGGCAGAGGAGCAGTGGAGGGCAGAAAGGCTTGTGGTCACCTAGACCAGCAACTCAGTGCTGCTTAGTGGAGCCTATTTCCCCACCCCTGACCTATGCTCTGGAGTCCTCCCCAAGATAGTGGGGGCAGGAAAGGATGGATGGTGATCACCCACAAAGATCCCATGGTAGGAAAGGTGGGGCGGGAGGCTGGTCTGGGGAGATGTGGCTTGCTAGAGGATGCACTACTCTCCCAGTCAAATGACCTCTGGCCCCATTGGCAGCCATACCATTCCTGGACTAGGCCCTTCCTGAAGGGTTCAAGCTTTGGCCACAAACCCATCCCTCCTGGCAGGGGCCCAGCCTGACCTCACAGGGGGATTGGCCTCAGGACTTTGTTTTTTTTTTTTTGAGACAGAGCCTCAAGCTTTCCCCTAGGTAGAGTGCCATGGCATTACAGCTCACAGCAACCTCCAACTCCTGGGCTCAAGCGAGTCTCTTGCCTCCGCCTCCCAAGTAGCTGGGACCACAG